ATGTGGTGCTGGGGGATTGAACCGCGGTCCCTGTGCTTTGCCAAGCTTGTTCCAAGTAGGTGCTTTAGACCACTGAGCCATCTCACCAGCCCTAGACTTCCAACTTTAAAACAAATAAGGAGCTGGGCATGGTGGCTCACTCCTGTAATCCCAGAACTAGAGAGGTTGAGGGAGGAGGATCGCCACAAGTTTGAGACCAGCCTGGGCTACAAAGTGAGTTCAAGGCCAGCCAGAATTGCAGAGTGAAACCCTGTGTCAAAAAGACCAAAAATAAAACAAAATTTAAAATAAAAAATAGGAAAATGTGGTGGGTGGGATAGTGGTCTATCTGTAAGATACTAAAATGTACCAAAGATCAAATATGAGCAACGAACCTGAAGTTGTGTTCTGAATTTCAAAGCATCTCTATATAGTTAATCACTTCACTGCAAACTTTATAGGTTCACTAAAGGAAACTCACTTCAGAAAGAACACAGTGGAGCAACATGTCAAGACCTTCCCCATCTGCCTTTACCAAGGGTCCCTTAGGGACACTCAGGTCACCCATGGGAGACACCGCTTGTGTCCAACTGCCAGGAAAAGCAGCAGTATTTCTTCTAAATGGTGTGTTTCTGTCTTGTGTCTTTGGAGCCTCATTTAAAAAAAAATACTGTTTCCCTCTTTGTTATGACAACCAGAAGTCTCAGGAACAAACCTGCCCAGAATTGAGCAACTTAAGAGTGTACACCACTGACTTTTATTGTTTCCTCTTCATGCTAACTTTATTAGCTACTTTTAAAAACGCTTTTGTAATAAAATCTGAAACAAATTGCAAACCCCTTTGGAACAAGTCAGAGAATAGATAAACACCAGATTCTAGCGCCAGGCAAGAAAGCAAAAGAATTCAAGCATTTACTAAGTAACATGCCCAACAGGCTGCCTTTAGCTGCAAGCAAGAGCTGTAAAATATACTCTAAGTTTCCCCATTCTTAACCTAGCCTTGGGGAAGACTGTCTCTTACGACTGCATTTGGTCAGAACACCAAAGTGACGAGGCACCCCTCCAATTTGTGCGAGCTCATGCAGATAAACCAGCAAAGTTAACTTCATTTTCACAAAGGCCTAGCGGCCCACTGGCCTCGCAGCTGCACAGTGACAGATTATTCTGCTTCATGAGCAGCAACAACCCACAAACAGATTTCTCCTCCTGAGGGAGATGACTCTCTATCAACCTTTTTCCAGAAGCATGGATACAAAAGCAACCTAACTTCAACAATTGGCTTTTGTGAAATGGGAAGTTACAGGACTAGCTCAGAGCGCAACACCATTCTCCTAGCTTATCCCTGAGTCTGACAGCCCACATGAGTGAGCGAGTGAGTAGTTTAGAAGGTGTGACAAGGAATTCTGCTGCCCGGTGACATGTTCCAGAAAGGCAGTCTCATAAACATATCCCTGGATCTAACACTGAGACTTCTGGCTTGTTATCGTTTATATCTAGTTGTCCCCCGAAAGCCTCATGTAAGTTATGGGGCAGACGCAGCTGGAGGAGCAGCAGGTGGCTTGAGGGGCGGGCCAGAGGACCAGGGTGGAGTCTGAGGGGTGGGGCCCGAGGGGCATGAATAGTTAAACTGGCTATTTAAGCTAGCCTGTGCTTTCTGAGAGATGTGACGAGGCTCATCCTGGACGCAGCAGTGTCCCAGCCTCTCCTCCAGTGTCTTGAAGCCTCCAGTAACTGTGAGCTAAATAAACTTTTCCTTCCCTCATTTTGAGTGTCAGGTATTTGTCCCAGAAACAACAGAAGAGTAACTAATACACAGCTCTTCACCAAAGTCAAAATGGCCATGAAAGGGGCATGTTTTGAACAGATTCAGGACATGCAGGCAGCCCCAATAGCGTAAATGAGGATATGCAGAACTGCTCTACAGAGCAACAAGAACAGTGAAATAAGCATGTTCCACAGGGGGTGCGACTAATTGCCATGCCTTTCACTATAGTAATTTTTAAAAATTTAAATACCATACAGAGCATGCAAAAATTTTAAGTATCAGGAAAAGTAAAACTTGTGTATTATAATACTAAATTTATTGAGACACCATGAGATTAACACAAGCTCCCTGTGGCCTCTGCAATGAAAAGAGGCGCTCAAAGTGCTGGCTAAGCACCTGCAGGCATGCGCTAGTACGGACACATGGACACGTTTTTTTGGCAGACTCTGTACTTTCTATCACACCTTATACACAAATGATGAACTTGGATCACACATTTTCCTAAAACTACACCTTCCTTCCCCACCTGCCCCAAGTCTCACTGCGCTGACCTCAAGCCACGACTGTCTCCCCAGCCCCGGGAAGGCCCGCAGGCCAGCAGCTTACTACACACGTGTGAGCAAGGCTGGCTGTGCCTGTGGGCACCTTGCTGGGAGAACTGCTGCCATAGGCAAGATCCCAGACGCCATTCTGGCTAGAATGCCATCTTAACTAAGACAAGGAATGCCAGGATGCAGCTCAGTGGGACAGCATCTGCCCAGTACCAGCAATGTCGTAAGCTCTGCTTCCTGCATTTTTCCAAGAAAAAACAAAAACCCTAAAGCAAGCTTATGATCCAAAGTTGGCACACACCCCAAAACACAGAGTCACAGAAACAACAGAGCTGAACGCTGCTGAAACTTGGAAAACAATGACTGGCCTCTAAGGTAGCTGAAAGTGTTGCAGATATTTTGTAACATGTTTCAAAATATCAACACACAGAGAATATTTTAAGTCTGTCTCTGGTCTAAAAAGCATGGTACTCATTCCAGCCACTGAAAATTACTATCCATTTTTTTTTTTCTTTTAGGAGTACTGAGGATTGAACCCAGGACCTTGCACATGCTAGGCAAGTACTCTACTACTGAATCACATCCTTAACTTTTCTAAAAACACTTAATATTTATGTAACTACTTAAAAAAAAATTAGAAATGGGAAAATGGCTAAGGAAATTTCATGTTCCTAGCCAGGCATCGTGGCACACACCTGGAATCCTAGCACTGTGGAAGCTGACACAGGACTATGGCTGTGAGTTCAAGGCCAGCCTACATGTCACAGTGAGTTCAAGGCTATCCTGAACAACACACGGAGACTCTGTCTGAAGAAGAATGATTCACTACATTGTAGAGAATTAGCAAAATCACTTGATCCAAATACGCAGAGTGGTAAACCAACAGATTACAAAAACACAAAAATGGAATTCTGAGTCTAACAATGACCTGCGAAAAATCTGTCAAGAAACATTAGTTGAATAAACAATAAGATCATTAAATGTTGACTTTTGAAGCACACAACTTACTGTTTTGATTCACTGTGACAAACTTCTAAGGTTGGATCATTATAAATAAAAGCAGCCTCTAAATCGTTGATCCTTACACGGTATATTCTACACTGTTTGCTGTTCAACTTGATTCTATTCAAATTTGCAACTGTAGGAAATACAGTCAGTTCCACAAATCCCTGTGAAAACAAAGATGAAGAGCTTCCTTATAAAGACTGGTATGCTGCAGAATTACTTTGATTTCTACTACTAAATTACTACACTCCACAAGTAATGCTGCAAACAGCTGTGCACACAGACATCCATACAATGTTGACTGTCTTCCTGACTGCACTGGTGAGAATTATGCAATACCTTATCATCTTGGAGGTTCACACAACTATCAATAAAAATTACGCTATTACAAAAATAGGACTCAGTACTCTCAAATATAAGAATTTCTGGACAGACTGGAACCCAAACAGGGAAGAGGAAGAAGAAAGTTATAGAACAGAAATGGAACAAAGCCACAAGATTGGTAGATAAAAAGATACAGACTGGGGCTGGTGAGATGGCTCAGTAGTCTAAAGCACCTACTTAGAACAAGCTTAGCAAAGCACAGGGACTGCGGTTCAATCCCCCAGCACCACATGCCAGCCAGCCTCGCCCCCTGGTGGGCTGAGCTGGCCACACACACACACACACACACATAAATAAATAAAATTAAATAAAAAAAAAAAAAAGATACAGACTACCTGAATAGGCACACACGCATGCACACAGACACAGAGGGAAGAAAACAGTACAGCACACTACTGAAGCAAACAATGTGTCAGCTCACAAGAGGTAAATCAGGACAGTGAAGCTACAGTATGAGAAGTGCATGCAAGGCAGCACCACGGGAACTCTACAGTGAGACTCCTGGCAAGCAGCCCAGGGCCAGGGCTCCCCCACACTGGCTGTGCGCACGCAGCTACTGAGTACAGGTCAAAGACACGGCACACAGGGAACCCACCAAGTGCTCATTACCACGCGCCATGCTGAGCCCAAGGGAAAGATGGACAGAGGGAGCCTGGACCATGCCCAGTAATTCTAAGATCTCTGGCTGATAGGCTCATGCTTGGTGCTACAGTCTAGATCTAACACATCCCCCAAAGACTTCTATGTTCAGGCTTGGGGTTCTGGGATGGTGGGTTCCTGGGACCCTAAACTCATCAGTAGACTGATCCATGCTAAGCTCACAGCAGACTGTGCTACTAGGAGATGGCATCTGCCCAGGGAAGGAGGTCCCAGGCACATAACCTGAAACACTGTCATCTCGTCCCCAGCCCTTCCTTCTCTCTGGGTCTCCTCCTCCTCTCTTGGCGGCCAAGATTAAGCAGCTGTCCCCCTACCCACCACTCTGAGCCCTTTCACCATGTCGTTTCTGCCCTGGAGCCAGCAACTGTGGACTGAGCCCTGAGAACTGTGAGCCAAAATAAACCTCACTTCTTTCAATTGCTGGTGACAGGTGTTTTGTTCCAGTGGCAGAAAGTGAATACAGAAGAATATGGGAGAGTATAAAATAGTAACATTTCAGAGGCTACAACAGGGACTGTGACGTACTGAAATAAAATTTCACGCGGGCCCAGTGCTAAATGCCAGGCACTATATTAGATAGCAGATACTTCAGATGTTTTGTAACCCTGACAGACTCTGAGGGCCAGGTGTTATTCTGTACCTTTTACTCTGAGCTGTAAGAGGTAGGTCCTATGGGAAAGCATGAAAAGACCCAGGGCAGAAGAGTGCTACAGTTCAATGCATGTGTTCTGGAGTAAATGCCCTCCCTTCTAATCCTAATCCCAGCTTTACCATATAGTAATCAATGACCTAAGGCCAGTTATTCTAGGTTTCTGTGCCTCAGTTTTCCCATCTGTTAAACAAGAATAATGATGCTGTGTACCTTTCAGCACTATTGTGGTAACTGAGAATTACTACATGAACAGATTTAAGACAGAAGGTGGGGGGCAGGGGTGCTGTGCAGAGGTAGAGCATTTATGTTGCACTACAAAGCCCTAGCTAGGTTCAATCCCTAACACTCGGTTAGGGGATTAGGGTCAGCACCAGTGTCTGCATAACAGGCCAGGTTGCATTCCTCTGCCCTCTCTGTATTCTGTGCCACAATATGCCGGCTCACACCCTGCACGCCTCCTCCTCCAGTTCCCTCTGACACTCTGCTCCCCTGCACATGGCCAAAGTGGAAGTGCTGCTGCTCCTCCACGCTCCTTGACCCCAGGTCCTCTACCGCTCACTCCTTTCCCAGGACCACAGCAACCCTCTGAAGAACCCCTCTGTCGCTGAGGTGGAGCCCACACCCATTTCTCCAGCCCACAGCTATACCGGAGCTTGAGGTTTCTCATTGTGGTCTGACCTGGCCCTCCTAAGGCTCATTTCTCTGCTCACTCTAAGTCCTCATCCAACCACATTTCTGCCAACTTCCAGCCTGTGAAAGCTCTTTTCCTTCTGTAGTAGTTCTGTTTTCTTGAGAGGGAGTCTTACTGTCCCTTTGGCAGCTGGCGATCATGTAAGCCTCCTGCATCTGCCTCCTGAGTGCTAGCGTTGCTTAAAAGTAGTCTCCTGACCTACAGAAAACTAAGGCGAACCCACCAAGTGCTCATCACCACCCGCTATGCTGAGCCCAAGCGAAAGACAGACAGAGGGAGCCTGGACCATGCCCAGTAATTCTAAGATCTGTGGCTGATAGGCTCACACTTGGTGCTACAGTCTAGATCTAACACATCCCCCAAACTCCGGGCTCCCTCTCTCCATCTTTCCCTTGGGCTCACCATGGCGGGTGGTAATGAGCACTCGGTGCGTTCCCTGTGTGCTCATCAGCACCCTGACTACTGGGCCCTGGGAACGGGAAATGCAGGTGGCTTATGATGGTTTTGCACAGCACTGGAAAAATAAAACTTCAAGTCCAGGCAGCACTGGTCTCAAGTGCAGCAGCGGGGATGTGCAGCCTCATGGCCAGTTTCAAACACAGTGCTGGAGTGGTGTTCCTGGAGTAAGCCTGGAGTGAATGGAGTGAGTGAGCAGATCTCCATCTGCTCTGGAGAAAGAAAAGGACATAACCCTTCCTGGAGCTATGGTGTTTTGATTCAGAACTCACAACTTGCCTCAGGTCCCAAAACATTCCCACAGTCCCTAAGCCAAACTGAAAAGGGCTAGCAGCCAGAGTATGTACTGGGGACATAGACAAACAGAACCCAGAGAGGAGGACAGAGGCGACTTCCCTGCCCCACAACACACAGTCAACACATCAGTAACTGACACACTGCCACCTGGGCCCTGTCCCATGGGGTCAGGGATATTACAGCAGCAAGGGCTGAGCAGACCCATCTGGACTGCCCATTCTCTGCTCCGAGACAGTAGTAGTAACTCAACTACCAGGAACTGCAGCAATTAGTGCCATAAGACTTCAGACATCCAGGCTGAAGCTGCCCCTGTGCCCACTGCAAGAAGGCAGTAGTCTCTGATGACACTTCTACTCCCGTAAGATACTTATCCTCCATTCAGGCACATCCTTTAGAAAGTTAGGATTAAAATATTATCCATGTGAGGAGGTTATTGCAAAGATTCAGTCACTCACACCTTGAAAGAGTGTCTTGGCACCCTCTATGCCTGCCTTACCTCAGCTAGCATTCACGGAAGGCTCACGCACTTTTCTAACACATCTAAGGCATCTTTCTCACACACAGTCAGGACTCAACAGTCACTATAATTCAGGTAACCATGTCAACTCCTTTCACTCCAGGAGTTTACTAATGCTATCATTACTGACAGCGTCATCCTTTTCTCCCCTGAATTTTGTAACATCCCAATATTCTCACTTACCCTACACAATTTATACAGCATGCTATTCCTAAGTATCCCACAATGAGATACAAGGAAAATAGTAACCTATGAGGAATATGCCGAAAAGAAATGCCATAATGAGCAAATCGAACTTAATGAACAATGTAGGAGCTTTATAAATCTAAAGACTGTGTGATTCTTATGAAAGGTTATTCTTGCCAGGTGTGGTGGTGCACACCTATAAGCTCCACACTTAGAAAGCTGAGGGAGGAGGACCGCTGAGCATTTTACACTAGCCTGGGCTACTTAGTGAGCTCAAGGCCAGCCTAGAATACTAACTAACAAGACTATGTATCAAAAAAAAGTTGTTCAGTCATTTGTTTGTTTACAGCTGCTGAAACATATACAGACATGGGCAACAAGTATGAAAGGAAAACTGGTAACGCTATTCAAGAAAAACTGGCCTGAAGATTTTAATCTATTTAATACAAGTAGCTCTCAAAAAGTACATCAAATGTTTAGGTTCTCAATGATTTTCCAGAGCAAATTATATCAGCAAGCCATACATCTAAAGATGGTGCGTGGGCTACTAGATCTCAAATGCTCTATCCGAAACTTCCCTACAAAGCAATACCACCAAAACCAGTTCACGCAGGTCAGAACACACAAGCGGTCTTTCAGAAGACACGTCATGCCTGTCAGAATACAAATTTTTAACTTTTTCAGGAAAGAAACTTCACAATGGGCTTATTCTTGTTTTAAGCACAATGCTAACATGCTTGGTTATACAGACTTTCATACTGCACAAAATAAAATTAAAAGAAAAAATCTTAGTCAGAAAAGAGAAAAATGAATGAGAATACTTGAAGAGGCAACACATACAGCTATGGGATAAGTCGGACCTGAGTTCTAATTCATGCCTATTCTTGAAACACTATTATCTGGAAAAATATAATGTGACATGAAAGGTACATTAATTATTCTTTGTGTTTCCGAATATAAACTTACCACAACCGATTTCCTCTGGAAATTTATGTTGTTGATGCAGACAACCTGATGAGTTGTATATTAAAAAAGAGAGAAAAAAAAGTACTATTATTAAGTGAAAGTATATGCGCATTCCCGTATAAATAAGGACTACGTTCAAAGGAACTGGAAACCATACATCAGTTTTTTTCATTTAAAAAACCTGTGGCTGGGTAGATAGCTCGGAGATCCAAGTGCCTGCCTGCTAAACGCCAAGGACCCGGGTTCAAACCCCAGTACCACATGCCAAGCCGGCCTGAAACAGGTCAGCCACCAAAACCAGGCGTTCGCACCGGCCTGTAATCTCAGGATTGAGGAGGCTGAGAAAGGAGGCTCACTAAGAGTCTGAGCTGTGTAGTGAGACGCTGTATGAAATAAATAAATACATGATTTTTTTTTTTTTTTGGCTCCGAATGCCTTCAGGGCAGGTTTGGCTGGCTTGAGTTGTGGGGATCGAAGCCCAGCAACCTGAGCCTGACTGCTTTGTTGAAGCAGCCACTTAAAAGAACTGAGCTAAGGGTCAGGCCCCCTAAATACATGATTTTTAAAAAATTAAAATCCTACAAGCGGGGCCATGGTGGCACGGGCCCTGTCATCCCAGAACTTGGAATGCTGAGTCAGGAGGTTCTACGCCGGTTCAGAGCCAACCTGAGTGATGCACTTAATTCAAGGCCAGGCTGGGAGACCCCGTCCCAAAAAAACTACATAAACAACCAATGAATAAACCGTAAAGGCAGAATAATCTGCTTAATTCTGGCAAGAATCGTAGGCACAGATTTCTTCTGAAAGCACGGGGGGCTGACTAACCTACAAAGCAAATTAGTAAGTGGCACCGGATGCCAGGGAGATGGCTCAACGGAGTAAGCGCTTCCCTGGCAAGCGCAAAGGCCTGAGTTCGAGCCCCAGCTCCGCCAAAAAAAGAAAACAACAGTAAGCGGCAGCATCAGCCACACTTCGCACCCCAAACACCCTGCCCACCACAGGGAGCCGAATCGGGGTTCCCGCCAGGCTTCCCGGTTCTCGGGGTCAGGGGCAGGCAATCGCACAAGAGCCTTAAACCAAAGCTCTGGAAGGGATGAATACTTATAATTTATAAGGCCTTGGGCTCTCGAAGCCCTTGTCTCCCTTCTTCTTGTTCATCCTGGGGGGCTCGGATCCCGTCGGCGGCATGGGGCGGGCCCGCGGCGCATTCCCGGTTCCCGCACCGCACGGTGCGGGTCGCGTCCCGCCGCCGGGGCTGCCTGGACGCCCGGCCCGGCCTCTCCGGCCGCCGCCGCCTCAAACGTTCCCCTTGAAGCGGCTTCTGCCGCCGCCGGGCCGAGGTCCTGTCACACTGACGCGCCTCTCCACGACCACTCCGAGCGCCCGCAGGCCGCCATGTTGCGCATGACCTCTGACCTAGGCGTAAGCGGAAGTGAGGCGGCGCCGAAGCCGCCCGGAAGCCCTGCGCGTGGGCGGGGCCTACGCGGAGCGCCGCGTCCGCGTGTCGTCCTGAGTTTGCGCTCCGCGCTGGCGAGCGGGAAACTTTCGGCGCGTGAGCGGGGAGGCCTGGACGGACTAAGGCGGGCATCGCGGCTTGGAAGACGGCCAGCGCATGCGCAGAGGCGTGCGGGGAGGTCTGACGGTGAGCGAGGGGGCTGCGTAGGTCCTCGCCCGCAGTGGGGCGCCACGTGCGGGTGGGCGTGTCGGTGCCCAGGCGTGCGCGGAGAAGACTGCGGGGAGTGTGCGCTATGGCAGCGCGCTCCCACGCCTTGTGTGTACAGTAATATACATGTAGCCCTGGTAGTGTGCACAGCAATGTGCATACATACTGTAACACATATCACGTGCAATATACAGCTACGCTCATACAGTAATATGACTAACGCGTGGTATGAGTGTATAGCTATATTAGTACATACAGTAACATGTACAACATGTGTGATACAGTTATGTTCATACTTGCGTGGTACATGTATAGCACATGTATAGCTATATTCATATGTATATAATGTATATGTACAGCATGTTCATATGTACATAGTAATATGCATTGTATAGCTGTTACAGTAACATACATGTGCGATATACAACTTGTTCATACATACAGTAATATACCTGTAACACTGGCGTGTGCACAGCTGTTAATACATACAGTAACATGTACAACATATGCAATATAGTTACATACTTATGTCGTTATATATAACATGTATAGCTACATTCATATAGTAATATACTTGTGCACATAATTCATATACAGTATATTCATATATAGTACTATATATACAATGTATCTATAATCTGTATTCATATTGTTAAATGTTATAGTGTGTGATATACAGCTACATTCATACATACATAGTAATATACATATAATTGTACAGCTACATTCATATAGTAATATGCTTACGCAAATACATGCATGTATACAGTAGTTTCATATATAGTAATATATACAACGTATATATATAGCTGTGTTCATACATATAGTAACATACTCATGCATATAACATGGCATATGTACACTACATTCTTACATATATAATCATGTGTGTATAACTATCATACATATGTGCAAGTAGGAGGTGGGCTGAGCAGTGAGCCGAGCATGCGGTCGCATTCTAGGAAGAGCCAAGCAGCAGGTTCACATCCTGAGACCGTCCCCACAATCAGTGAGGACGACCCCAGTTGAGGGTCCAGTTTTGCAAATGGTTCCAACACATGGCAGGTGAGGATGCGGAGTTCATGCAGAAGATCCTGTAGTCAAGGGAAGCGACGCAGCTACTCACAGACAGCACAGCGGTCTCCCAACCTCAATGTCTGGTGTGGCTGTCAGCGACAAGCTTAACAGGTCTGTTTTTCTTTGAAGGTGTAGCTACAGGCCAAAGGTGCCTGGACACTCTCCGCACCTCCCCCTTACATGCCATCCACAAACAGAAATGACAAATTCCTCCTTTGATGATGTTATGGTTTGTGCGCATTTGTCCCCCCAAAGTCTCATGCAGTCATTGAGGCGCAGTTCTACGGTTTGTGATTAATTCATGATCCAAGTCTGGGATTATGGGTCTGAGTACTGCTGAGATTATGGGTGTGAGTGATACACCCAGCCTGGGCAGATAGCCTGAATGGAATTTAAGGGAGACTTGCTCTCTGCAGCCATTGTTGCTGTTACTCCTCCCTTTTGCTCTTGCTGTTTTGCTGTTTTCCACCTGTGAACCACTGCCCTCTGCCATGTGCCAGTCTGCCTTGGTGCCAGCCAAGTATGGACTGAAACCTCCATTAACTGTGAGCTAAATAAACCTTTCCTTCCCTCATTTTGGGTATTGGGTATTTGTCCCAGCAACAAAAGAAGAGTAACTGAGACAGATGGGGTGGTGCACACTACCAAAGAGCCTTGCGGGCCCACCTGGACCAGCATTGGCAAGGGCACTGACTGGGCCAGAGAGGAGCAATCAGGTTTCCCTGAACCCTCTCCTGACTTGACACCTGCAGACTTTTATATCTGGGGGACCTTGCAGGGGGCTGCACATCACAGGAAACCACTGTGCTGCCAACCCTTAGGGAAGAGACTGAAAACGTACATGCAGCAGTCCCAGTGGACAACGTGGCCGCGGTTACCCAGGCGGCAGTGCATGGTGCAGATGTGTCCGGAGTCTGGTGGGCACCACTCTGAATGTTTAGTGTTAAGCTGGGTGTGGTAGTGCACACCTGTAATCCTAGCATGTGGGAGGCTGAGGCAGGAGGACTGCTGCAAGTTCAAGACCAGCCTAGGTAAGTTACAAAGTTGAGTTCAAGGCCAGCCTGAACTGCACAGTAAGACCCTGTCTCAGAAAGACAAAAATAAAGGGGCCGGGAGATGGCTCAGTGGAATAAGTGCTTCCCTGGCAAGCGCAAGGGCCTGAGTTCAATCCCTGGTTCTGCCAAAAAAAAAGAAAAAGCAGAAAAAAAAAGACAAAAATAAATAAATTTAGGGTTAAAATATTTGTTTTTCTTTTCCTGACATATACATGTTTTTTGGACTCTATGCAGTAATATGCATTATATATTGTATATGTAAATCATGTATGTGGAGCACACAGTACATTTACAATGTATAATACTATATACTGTATATTCCATAATCCATACAAATGCAGAAAAATTTATTGAAACATCATGTTCACCTTTCACGTACATAAAATAAGAGAACTTGAGTGTGTCATTAAAATTCCATTGTGAATTAATCCTCCATTAACCTTTTTAAACCTTCAGCCTCACTTAGCTTGGCCTGCCCTCCAGCCATCCCAGTGACAAAGTTCAGTGACCACTTTAAAGGTAATCAGAACTTTGGTCTAAAACAAATTAGGAAAAGCTCTAAAGAATTCAACCCTTGATTCCAGCGCTGCACAGGCTGAGGCAGGAGGATCCCCTTGAGCTTGAGGCCAGCCTGGGCTAGTGAGACCCTGTCTGAAATCCAAAACACTGCCTGTTAAGCATTGCAAAACCTAGTGTGCTGGCCCTGGTGTCACCAGGGCTGTCACCATGACTGGCTGGCTTTGCTGAATGCTTGCAGCTTCTTAGCCAATAGCACTACTCCGCTAGGATTCTCCACATGGCATTGAGGACCAAACCAGTCCTATCCAAAGCATAGGTGCGAGGTACCACAGGAACGGGGAGCAGTTCAGGCTTCAGTGTGAACACGCAATGTAAGAAACTGGTGGTACCCAGTGACTTCTGGCGTGGGAGGAAAATGGAAAGAGCAACTTGCTCAGTGGCGTGTAAGTGAATAGACGGGGGGGGGGGGGGGAGGCAGTACTCCAAACTGGACTCCAGATGTCTGTGCCGAGCTACATCCCAGCCTTGCTTTCTATTTTGAAACCAGATCTAAATCCTTGAAGTTGCCCAGGCTGGACTCAAACTCGGGATCCTCGTGCTTCAGCCTCACCAAGAGCTGGGATTAGAGGCTTACACTACCTCGCCTGCCTGCTATGAATAAACCTCTCCTATGAAACTACCATTATGTAGCTCTCTCAAAAAATATTCCAAGGGCCAAATAGCTCAGCAGACTAAAGCGCCTGCTTAGATGGGCACAGGGACCAGGGTTCAATCCCCAGTGTGTGTGCTGGCTCCGCGTGATGAGACGGCAATTGAGGCTGGGCATGGTGGCGCACACCCCCAGCTCTTAGGAGGCTGTAAACGGGCGGATCACTACAAGTAGGATCTAGTAGTGAGACCCTGAGCACCCTGTAGACCCTTCCCTAAAAATACAAAAAAATTAAAAATACATTTAAAAAAAAAATGTCTCAAGGTACTAATAACCAGAACATCAAATCCTAATGGAATTCTGTATCCAAAAACCCTAGAAATGCAGCCACACAGACATCAGAGGCACGCTAAGCAGGAAGCGCTTTATTGTGCCTTGTTCCCACAGGGCAGATGTGCAGGATGCGCCAGGGTCCTGTGGCACCGGAGGAGCAGAGGAAGCGGAGGCCTTCGTGGAATGGGGCTTCGCGGTCGGGAGTAAAAGTACACAAGAGAGTCGGAGTCTACGTCCAACACTTCCTAAAGCAGTGGGTCCCAAAGAGGACTTTGTGCTAAGAAACAGGTCTGCGGGAGTTGTACACTCTCACCCCATTTTGCACAGAGGAGCGTGAATATTTAGTGAGCAAGGCACCTATCGTCTGCTTCTCTCCACATAGGTCTCTGCGGAAACAACCAGAAAACCCAGGTGAACAGCATGAACGTTAGAGCACAACAGTGCCAGTTATTTTGTCTCTTCCCCCAAATCCGTCTTCCCAGTGGGCATAAGAACATGTGTCCACAGGAGAAACAGAGTAGGGGTTGAAGTCTTTTTTTTTTTTTTTTTTTTTTTTAATTTTTGAGACAGGGTCTTGCTACACAGTCTACGCTGGCCTTCCAACTAACACTAGCTTCAACCTTGCAGCAGTCTTCCTGCCTCAACCTCCTGAGTGCTGAGTTTTCAAGAGTGCCTACCACACCCAAGTAGTTGTAAGTCTTAGTTGAATCTCCAAGTCAAAAATACAAGCCCTGCCACCAGAGTGTGAAGCCAGAGAACCCGAGCCCAGGCTGCGGTGTAAGCTTGAGCAGCCGCCCTCTCCACCGACCACAGAGGAGAGAGCATGGGGCCATGACGGGGAGGGTGCACACACCCAAGGCAGTGGAGGCCACAGGCCAGGCAGTGAGGCCCTGGGCTCCTGCCCTGGCAACGGCATTGCAAGGGAAACACAAGCAGGATGGAGAAGGGAAGAGGCAAAGGAAGAGCAAAGGTAGAAGACGGCAGCCCAGTTCAGAGGCAGACCCAAGATGACAACAGGACTTGCTCGTGGGGAGGGGAAGGGCGAAGGTGGCGCCTGGCCTTGCTGTCTGCGATGAGGCCTTGTTTCATTGTGCAGACTCTCCTACACTCTGCTCACAACAGCCCTGCCTCAGCCTCCTTAGTAGCTGAGGACAGGAAAGGTGGTTCATAGGCAGGAAAAATAGATTAAGGGCCTCAATAGGTTCCTGGTGAATCCTGTTAAGCTTGACTGGAGGGATTCCTGTGGGAGTAGTTACAAGGGTAGAGGGAGAGAAAAACCTGACGTTTAAAGGGCCCTGGAAGCCAGGGATTTAGCTCAGCTGCACAAGTGCCTGCCTGGCAAGCGCAAGGTCCTAGGTTCAAGTCCTGGTACAAAGAAAAAAGCTTCCCTCTCCTGACCTGCCCCCAGCACAGCTGGTGTAAGGACTCATCAGCAACCGGAGAAGCCAGAGGCAGGGAAACCAGGACCATGGCCCTCCCGGCCTCCAAGCTCTTCCTTGGTGTACACGCACACCTGTGCACTTCTACATGTGCACTCACTCGAGGGGGAGTGCCTGACACACGAGCTTCCCCGTTCTTTCCTTCCATCACTCACTAAGCTGCTGGGACCATACGGCTCCTCCTCGGCAACCTGCGGATCCCACGGATCCCAGGCCTAAGGACCAGCAAAGGGAATATGCACACAAGCTGCAGAGCTGGTGAGGGTTCCATAGCCTGGGACCATCTGTGACAGCCCAGGCAGCCAATCAAATTGTGACAAGTTCCAGGAGGGCGGGTTCTCCCACCCAAAAGACGCCAGTGACAAAGGGCCCATCCATCCTTCCAGAGCGCCCACCATCTGTGGAACAGCTTTCTGCTTCCTCTTCCTCTTTACAAGAAAAGCTTCTGTCGGCCCCAAAAGCTGTCTTGAAGTCCATCCCTTTAATGAATTATCGGTCCTGAGTCAGGACCCCTGTAGGCTGCTCATCCCAGCAGTGTAGCCCGCACCGACAAGACTGCCAGCAGCTTCACTTGAGTAACGCTGCATGTGTTTTCATATACTAAGGAAGAGCTTGCTTTGAGGTTAGCAGCCCTGTTCACTGAGGAGCAGGTGTGAGATTGCTATTAGATATCTCCATGGACTCACTAGGTAGACTAACACCCAGCTCCTATAAAGGGAGGTCACTAACTCCAAATACGCCCTTGTAGGGTGTGGTGGCACAGGCCTGTAATCCCAGCACCGAGGAGGCTGAGGCAGGAGGACCTCTACAACTTAGAGGCCAGCCGGGGCTACACAAGAGGTCGAGGCCAGCCTGACTATATAGCGAGACCCTGTCTCAGAAAACAAAAAACAACTGTTACTCAGTTACTCACTGGATGTAGGGAGCAATGTCTTCTTCTGTCCACTTCTCCCTTAGGGAGAACAGAGCATTAAAACGTTCCTGATTTCCCTCAGGTAAATCATCCACCTTCAGCAAAAATATGATTTCTGGCCTTGAGTGTCTGTCCACCAGCGCTAACCCCTGTAAGAAAGGAAAGGGAAAGGGCGGGTCATTCACTTAGGGGTGCACTGTTTAAACTCAGCCCAAGGAAATGCCAGCCTCACAACTGACACAAAACTACAACTACTAAGAGATTTATAATAGTCTCTTTTTTTTTTTTTTTGCGGAACCGGGGATCGAACTCAGGCCCTTGAGCTTGCCAGGGAAGCGCTTATTCCACTGAGCCATCTCCCCGGCCCCTATAATAGTCTATTTCTTTAAAATAGCTATTAGCCTTTTTTTTTTTTTTTTTTGAGTCAGGGTCTTGCAATGTATTCCAGGCTGGCTTTGAACTCATTGTGTAGCCCAGGCTAGCCTCAAACTCAAGACAACCATCCTGCTTCTGCTTCCCAAGTGCTGGGGTTACAGGTATGCACCACCACACTGTTCTTTTATATATGACTTCTATTCCCTGTGCAATCTGGCTTCTGTCACCCCCAGATTCTAGAGGGCTCCAGGGGTCGGTCCCCCCAGTCCAGTGGGCTCCTTCCTAGACTCCTGGCCCTCCTTTCTTGGGAACATCCCTACCCCTCCTGTCCCTGTCTCCCTGTACTCCTGACGGGCATCCAGCAGCTTCCCCTTCAGCTTCAGGCCTCGTAGCAATGACCTGGGGACCATGCAGCAGGCCAGACGGGGTTACCTTGAGCTGGTCCAGACTGGTCACCATCCCTTCAGGGACACTCTGCTGCCACACTGCCTGGAACTCAGCCAGATTGAACTTCACTGCATTCTGCAGCAGCATCTGGGCAGTGGCACGGCAAATCTTATCAGGGCTCAGCTCAAAATAAACTTCCCCTGTGAATTGCATCAGAGAGCCCCGTATTATTCCACGGGTCCCTGCTCCTCCTCCACAGCACCACTTCTTAGCATGACCAGCTGCTAGGGCTTGTATCCAGATGTCCCCCAAGCCCCATGCACTCACAGCTGGGATTGTGGGTGTGATTCTGGGGTTCGGGCTGTGTAACACTCTATTACTGCACTGATTGGTTCACTGTGGTTCTGGGTGTTGCTGGATGGATTTATTGAAGACAGACGCTCCACTCAGCATGGGGGGGCATCGACCATTAAGCTGGCAGGTAGCGTGGATGCAGTAAGAGGGAAAAGAAGGCTCACTGCACTGCTGCCTCCCTCCCGCCTGCCCTGCCAAGGACTGTTCCTCCTCTACCACGCTGCTGGGCCTTGAGCTGGCCAACTGAAACCGCTACGAACTGTGAGCTAAAATAAATCTCTCCTTTCACTCTGGCGGTGGGTATTTTGTCGGCAACATGAAAGTAAGGCAGTGCCTCCCTCCCTCCCAGTCCTAAAGGTCTTACTGTCAACACCAGCTCACCCCACACGAGCACACCAGCTTTAGCGTGCAGTTCAACGCCAGGAGCATACTTCCCCACTTACCTTCATCTATATATTTCCGTCCATAACACTTAAGACAGTGCTCTATCATCTCCCTGAAAAATAAAACCAATTTGAAAAGTTATCTCACTGTATATTAGTTTGGTGATCCATTCTCTCTAGGTGTTAACGGTTTGTAAGTGCCCCAAAGCCTCATGCAGTGGACGGGCGGCTTCTGGGGTGTGACTGATTATCGTGGGTGTGGGTGCTGCACCTGCCCTGGGCAAGTAATTAGGTAATTTGCTTTGCACTGTAAGGGGGACAGAGGCTAGCTGGCTGCCAAGCTGCTGTCACTCCCTTTGCGCTCTGCTCTTTGCCACCTCTAGGAAAGGTTGTTCTCTGCCATGTTCCACTCTGCTCTGGAGCCAGTTGAGTATGGCCTGAAACTTCCAGCAACTGAGCTTATTGAAATAAACCTTTCCTTCTCTGAGTGTCAGGTGTTTGTCCCAGCAACGAAAAGTAACTGAGACACTAGGTATTCTTTTGAAAATGTATTTGGTACAAAGTCTCTCTACACAGCTCAAACTCATAGCGATCCTGTTTTCAGCCTCTCTAGCACTGGAATTAGAGGCATGCACCACCACCCCTAGTCTTAGCCGCTGTCTCAGCATGCCCTGGGGGCGGGGCTGGCACAGCATGTGGTGCTGGGAATCAAACCCTGGTCCCTGTGCTTGCCTAAGCAGGCACTTAGTCCACTGAGCTATCTCACCAGCCCAACTAGGTATTCTTTATTCATTTTTTTCCCAGCACCCATATTTATCGGTCCATACTTGCAAAACTTAGTGACAACACTCCTCGCAGGAAGTCGAGACCTGCACATAAAACAACTTACTCCAAAAAATAAAAAAACCCAACTTAATGCTCTGTTCATCTTCTCTCTTCCCTTCATTCTTGGTCTCCCTCCCATTACACTTCTATTAACAAGGGTCTCTGCATGCAGTTCAGGCTGGTCTTGAACCCAGCATGTAGCCCAGCTGACCTCAGACTTATGAAGAGCCTTCTGCCTCAGCCTCTCCACCCAGAATGCTAGGGTTGTAGTGTGTGCCTCCAGGCCTGGCTCCTCTATCTACTGTTTATTCTGCTTTTCTGTTGACACTTTGGGATTCTCATAAGAGAAAAACAAACAACAGGCTGTGTCTGGTTAACATTATGGTCTCAAGGTATATCCGGCTTCCTACATATGACTCAGATTTCCTCTTCTTTGTGGCTGAGCAGTGCTTTATTGTGTATAAATGCCCTGCTTTGTTTATTCGTTCATCTGTTGACGGATACACAGGCCGTCACGCAGTGTATTCTAAACTTCATTGCCTTTGCATGTGTGTATGTGGGTGGTAGTAGGGATTGAACTGACAGCAGCATGCATGCTAGACAGGCAAGCACTCCACCACTGAGCTCCATCCCCAGAGAAATCTTTTCCTCTTTAGCGTACTTAGGATAGCATCTACAGAGCCTCACTACAAAGGTCAGACTCAGTGATCCTATTTTTCAGCCTCCAAAGCGCTGGGATTCTAGGCGTGTACCACCACGCCCAGTCTCAATGGCTGTCTCAGTGTACCCTGCCCCTCCCCCCACCCAGGGCAGGCAGGGTATCAAACCCCAGTCCCTACACTTGCCTAGGAGGGCCCTTTAATCCACTGAGCTATCTGGCCGGCCTTAAATCTCATTTCTAACTGCAGACTAAGATACAAGTCTGAGACTTGAAGTATTGCACTACTTAAATGCTAAACAGGACTTTATTTAAATTGAGCACTAGGGCAGGCGAGATCGTTCAGCGAACTAAGCGGCTGCTTAGGCAAGCACAGGGACCAGGGTTCAATCCCTGGCACCACATGCCATGCCAGCCCCATACCAGATGTGGTGGCACAGGCCTGTAATCCCAGCACTGGGGAGGCTGAAAACAGGAGGATCACTATGAGTCTGAGGTGCATAGTGAGACCCGGTACCAAATAAATAAGTAATTGAGGACAAATATACACTGGGAGGCTGCTAGGTGTCAAGCCCAGGCCACATATTTTTATAGGAAATATGAGCATATTAATAAAAACAGCTCGAGGGACAGCCAAATAGCTCAGTGGATTAAAGCGCCTGCAAGGAGGGGCCAGGGCTTCAATCCCCAGGCCTGCTGTGTCAGCCCCGCCCCTGGGGCCTGCTGAGAGGCAACTGAGACTGGGTGTGGAGGCACACACCTGTAATCCCAGCTCTTGGGGGCTGTAACCAGGTGTATCACGAGAGTCCGATCTAGGAGTGAGACCCTGAGCACCCTGTAGACCCTTTCCTAAAATACAAAAAACAAAACAGCTCGAAAGTAATAATATGTATTTTTATGACAAAAAAATGATACAAATTCACTCCCCAAATCCTTCCTTGGTTGTAATTTTTAAGTTTTTTTTCTTTTCTTTCTTTTTTTCTTTTGTTGTACCAGAGATTGAACTCAGGACCTTGTGCTTGGCAGGCAAGCACTTATTCTACTAAGCTATCTCCCCGGCCCAAGATTTTTTCTAGGATATCAAAATACGCATGGCCTGAGTTTCATTCCAAGCTGGAAAAGCACTTCCTTCCCTTGCAAGACTAAGAATGAAGATACATACTCTGGCTCCAGCGGACCCAGTTCCTGCAGGCAAACATTCAATGGGACTTTGCCAAAAGACCAGGATTCCGAATCCACAAGCTGAGTTAC